TAGGGGGCGGGCAGAAGGCAGCCAATTGAAGATTCTCACTCCTCCTCTCTGAAATCAGTAAAAACATTAAAAAAAAAAGAGACTCCCACTTGCAAAGGGTTTCTTCAGCTTTCTGGAGAGTGCTGCCTGAGACGTCAGATCTTGATGGAATCTTGACTCAAGCTGCTGGGCCGAGCAGATGTTTGGCCAACTCCTCAGTAAACACAGTGTTGTGATGCAACTGTCTTACGGGGGATTCCAGGGAGATCCTAATTGTTAATGCAGAAGGATGCTTGCTAGGTATCTGAGCTGCCATTTAAAAGTCACTCCTCAATGAGGTAATTCATGCCCCTTCAACAAAGAGGAGCCTGGAGACACGGAGAGTTCATGATCAATCCTGTGGACAAAGTCTCCAGTGCAGGGCCCAGGAGCTTGTCCTGCTGCCTGTGGAGCCAACTGCAGCCCGTGTGCTATCATGTGAAGATCAGAGGGGCTTTACAAGACTCTTAGGATAAAGACAAGTGTGCGTAGTCTGTGCTTTAGTAAGACATCACACTTGATTTACTACACTATTGTGGGCAACAACTTAGGAAATAGTTCATTAAGATGTTTTAAAATTCTCAACTTCTGACATGTTAATGCATGCATCAAAGCTGACAACACTGACAAGGGAGCTCACTAGCTATAACCACCCAGGAGTCCTTTGCCCACCTCCCACCCTCCAACGGAACCAGTAGCACAGGTAGGGTCCCCGATAACCTCAAAGGTGGCAGGGTGAAGACCATGAGTTGGATGGAAGCCATACTCCACTGCAGTGAGTCTACACCATCAACTCAATCTTGGTGGCCAGGTGACTTGAAAAGCTTCAGTGTGGATGAACCTCAAATTGAAACTTTTTTAAAAAGCAGAGACAGCAGGAATGCTCCCCTCCAAGTTCAAAGAAAATAGGATAATCAAAGGCTACTGCAACGCTTACTTTGGGTCTCCTTTAAAAATGACTCCCTTGCCTGATTGGGGGGCTTGGTAGGTGAGCATTGATCCATGAACCAGGAGGTCATGGTCCAATTCCCAGTCAAGGCACATGCCCGGGTTTTGGGCTTGATCCCCAATAGGGGGCGGGCAGAGGCAGCCAATTGAAGATTCTCACTCATCCTCTCTGAAATCAGTAAAAACATTAAAAACAAAAAACAACAACAAAAAAGACGACTCCCACTTGCAAAGGGTTTCTTCAGCTTTCTGGAGAGTGCTGCCTGAGACGTCAGATCTTGATGGAATCTTGACTCAAGCTGCTGGGCCGAGCAGATGTTTGGCCAACTCCTCAGTAAACACAGTGTTGTGATGCAACTGTCTTACGGGGGATTCCAGGGAGATCCTAATTGTTAATGCAGAAGGATGCTTGCTAGGTATCTGAGCTGCCATTTAAAAGTCACTCCTCAATGAGGTAATTCATGCCCCTTCAACAAAGAGGAGCCTGGAGACACGGAGAGTTCATGATCAATCCTGTGGACAAAGTCTCCAGTGCAGGGCCCAGGAGCTTGTCCTGCTGCCTGTGGAGCCAACTGCAGGGGTAACAGAAGTGCATGGGGCTCTCAGAACACAACTCCCCAAGTTCTGAAGACACCCTTTTCCTGTTTAAGAATTGCAAATGACAGGAAGCTGGGACGTTCAAATTTATAGGCAGTGACAACCTGGACTTAAATGAACAAGGAGAAAAAGACACCAGGAAAGTATTTCCATTACTTACAAATGAATAAAAGCCAGGAAAATAAATAAAAGAGCTCCCGCCCCCTCCTTAGGATAAAGGAGAATAAAAGAACCACCAAGAGACATGGAGTTTGAAAAGTATATAACAGATTTCTTTTTTATTTACAATCAAGTTCTGTTGGGCAACACAGTTAAATAAATAAAAGATGTGCCCTGGCCTGTGAATTTCAACTCCCCTCAACTCGAGCTCTCTGAACAGAAAAGAGAAGATGAAGGTGGGCAAGAGGGAAGGGGAGTTCTGCCCCGTGGGAGGAAAGGCACTCCTCATCCCCCACCCCTCACCAGGCTCCAGCACTCACACCAACATCTGTCCAGAGAGCAAGTATGGGAGGGAACAAATAAAGTGCAAATTAGAAAGTGATAAAAATATTGGTGCAGGGCCCAGGAGCTTGTCCTGCTGCCTGTGGAGCCAACTGCAGGGGTAACAGAAGTGCATGGGGCTCTCAGAACACAACTCCCCAAGTTCTGAAGACACCCTTTTCCTGTTTAAGAATTGCAAATGACAGGAAGCTGGGACGTTCATATTTATAGGCAGTGACAACCTGGACTTAAATGAACAAGGAGAAAAAGACACCAGGAAAGTATTTCCATTACTTACAAATGAATAAAAGCCAGGAAAATAAATAAAAGAGCTCCCGCCCCCTCCTTAGGATAAAGGAGAATAAAAGAACCACCAAGAGACATGGAGTTTGAAAAGTATATAACAGATTTCTTTTTTATTTACAATCAAGTTCTGTTGGGCAACACAGTTAAATAAATAAAAGATGTGCCCTGGCCTGTGAATTTCAACTCCCCTCAACTCGAGCTCTCTGAACAGAAAAGAGAAGATGAAGGTGGGCAAGAGGGAAGGGGAGTTCTGCCCCGTGGGAGGAAAGGCACTCCTCATCCCCCACCCCTCACCAGGCTCCAGCACTCACACCAACATCTGTCCAGAGAGCAAGTATGGGAGGGAACAAATAAAGTGCAAATTAGAAAGTGATAAAAATATTGGTGTTTCAGTCACTCGAGGAACCAAAATTTTATACACAAAGAAAATGGGAAAGAAATGCTTTAAAAAAAAATGCCCCAGGCCAGTTTCCCTGGCCTCAATCACAGCTCCTGAAATGGAAGGTGATATTCATTCCCCGCCTCCTGGAATGGGCTTCCTGCGCTCCAGCACTGAGGGCACTGCACATGAGCTTGGCACAGGGGCAGTGACCTGGAGCTGCTGGCTCCAGAGATACACCCGAGTCCCAGCAGCTGTACCCAAAGACCGTGGCATGCACCCACTTTCTTGGAAGGGACAGATGGGTCTAGGAAGACACCTACTCCTGCAGCACACACACACTTCTCTGGAAAAAAAGGTTTTTACACTTCCTCTCAAAAAAATATTTTGTAACCAAGTTGAGATTTATGTTTTGACCAATAAATAGATATGTAGAATCAGGAGTTTTGAAGAACAGTTACTTTCCAAGAATTGTTTAGGAGACCTAAGAAAATTCCAACCGTAATCAGGAGATCACACTAAGAGCTTCGGAATAATGATACGAACCAGCAGGGTGGATGGCAGTCCCATGTCTCCTTGGAAACCAGGGCAGTCCCTGCGGGCTACCTGAGGACAGGGGTAATCCTGTTTGGGTATCTGTTAATCCAATGATTAAAGCAAGTTCACCAGGAAAATGATCCAAGGCGACAGGATATGCGTTGGCCAGAACTGACTCTGAAGGGAGAAATAAGCGGGAGGACCCTCCCGCCACACACACGTGGGGTGCTGTTGGCACTGCCTGTGCTGCCTGCCCCGCTGAGGTATGGACGGTCAGAGCTAGTAGTGTTTCCCACAGAATGGAGGCAGCGACCCACCTCTGCTAAGTGGCTGCAGAGGCAGCGTCATTCCTCCAGGTCATTAGAGACTGCAGCCCAAATCCTCAGAAGTCCTGCTCAAGGAAAGTCGCCTGGCTGGCTCTTCTCTGGAGGTCAAAGCTACACCCCACATGCCACCTGCCAGGACAGAGCTGCGGCCCGAGTGCTTCTCCGGCTTCGGATCTGCTCTCTCCTGAGGAGACTCCGTCAGTATTCTGACCACAGCACAGCTTTGCTTCCCTTGTCCACACTGACGATGTGGGAGCCGGAGGGGGACCATGCCACCGCATTGATGGACGAGCTTCAAAGGGAGAGGTCAGAACATCTGTGAGGCCTTAGTGAGCTCGGCACCAGGCTCCCTTGCTCCTGGGGGTTGTGCTTTCTCCACAGCTGTTTTACTCACCCGGCTGCTCCCGCTCACAGGCAGGCACTTAGTAAAGAGCAGAAAAATGCAGGAGGAACCCTGCACTGTGTTTTAGGAAGCAGTTTGGGAATGAAAGGAGCAGGCCCGATCAAGTCTACCCTAAGCGAACAGCTCTGGGTGAATGAAGCAGAGAGGGACAGGACGACTGACTGAGGAGTAGAAATTGTCACTGCTTTTGAGGCACAGAGAGAGGTGGTTATGGAGGAACCCTGGGACTGTGTTCTAATTAGCAGTTGGGCCTGGGTGGATGGAGCAAAGCTAAGAAAAAAAGGAGCCTAGGGGAAGACAAGAGAATGTTTCTCTACTCTTTTCTCCAACAGCCACTATTCTGATTGCTCAAACCGGAAGATTCTGTATAAACATACCAGCAGAGCACTGCAGCAGGCTGCACTGGGGGGACTGGCTGCTTCTCTCCACTAACCTAGCTCACAGCAGAGCACATGAGTGCACACTGCCCTCGTGGGGCAGACTCAGGTCCATGCCTGAAGAGAGCATGACTCCTGGGATGAAGTCACAGGACCCGCTCACAACCTCAGAGGGGCTCCAGGGGTCATCTTACCCATGATGCTTTGAAAGGACCTTCTCCACTTTCCCAGAGAGCACACTCCAGACGTAGAGAGAGCCCTCCGCGGAGCCTGCTGCCACATAACTGCCGTCAGGGCTGGAGAACACAGAAGACAGGAAATGGTGTCAACCCCCCCGCTCCCCAGCATCCTCATGGACCTTCTGGCAAGAAGCAATGTTTAGTCTTCATTTATGAGACAAACACAGGACTGGTCCTGTATACCCAAAAAATCAGAACTTGACACTCACGACTGTTACACCAAAGCTATTTCACCCTGTTATCTTGGCCTCACCCACCCAATGAAGAATAGTGCCACTATGTTACTTCTTGAGGCCACAAGTCCCTCACTATCTCAGACTCCAACTCAGCACACACAGGGAGATCAAGTCAACCCCTGAATGGCGACGGGTTTCTTTTGTCTGGCAGACTGCCTGGTCTCGCATGGCTGTGAAAGTAGGAAAGAGAGAAGCATTAACTGTGGAGAAGTTTCTCTGTGATGCTGGAACTGTTCCATGAGACTTTCCCACACTTCCCTAAAAGCTCTCAAACAGCTCTTCTCTAAATGCATGGAGAGATGTGAACCTGCTGTGCCCAGCAAGAACCAAGTGGGCAACCAGTTCATTTTGGTACAATCACGAAGGAACAGGAGGGAGGAAGGACATGATAGTGACCTCTAGCACTGAATCTACAGGTTCACTCCTGGATGCTCGGCTGAGACACTATAAATCTGGCCCTAAAAGCTCTCAAACAGCTCTTCTCTAAATGCATGGAGAGATGTGAACCTGCTGTGCCCAGCAAGAACCAAGTGGGCAACCAGTTCATTTTGGTACAATCACGAAGGAACAGGAGGGAGGAAGGACATGATAGTGACCTCTAGCACTGAATCTACAGGTTCACTCCTGGATGCTCGGCTGAGACACTATAAATCTGGCTCACTTTCCCAGCGGGAAAATGCCCATGCTTAACCTTTGTGATGAACCAAGCTTGGGGGTGAGGTGGGGCAGAAGGAGCATCACCACTAACCTGAACACGACTCTCGTCCAGTCAGAGCCACACTTGAACCCAGGAGCACTGAAACAAACAAGAGGGCACCGTCACCCCGAGAGCTCAGAGTACACAGGGTCTGAGAGCAAACCGGGGCCTCTGGTCTTCATGCAACCCTCAGGAGCCCCAAACCAGCGTGGCTTTAGTTACCTAAATGTCTGTCTGACAGCATTTATTCGGAGATCGATAATTTTTAGCAGGTCATCACGGGAGCAGCTTAGGAGTTCAGTTCTTTCTGGGTTTAAGTCCAGGGCAGTAATCTTCCCCAACAGCTCCATCTCTCGGATGATAGTCTCTGACCTACCAAAGAGATGGAAAGTCTGAGAAAATGTACCACAGAAATGTCAGACTTCCCCATCTGAACCAGGATGGCATGCCATGGAGCAGAGAAGGGGAAAAGGCAAGTCAACCAGAATGCAAAGCTCTTCCAGGCAGTGAATGTGTTCCCAGCCTTATAAAAATAACCAGTGTTGCTTTTATTATCTTTCCATCAACAGACTCTATGGTAATAATTTTGAGAACTAGAACTCTAAATCTGGTAAGGATTCATTTCCCTGCCCACTTTTGGAACCATACGATAAATGCCAATCGGAGCTTCTGATCAGCATGTACCAACCAGGGCTCCTATCCAAATATGGAGAAAGCTGTGCTTTCTCACAGTCTCCCTGCCACACTAAGTTCAGCTCAGGGGCCCCCAACTTCTTGGTGATACTAGATGTGAAACTGGGACTCCGGAGCAGTCACCACACTCTGCAAGGCCCTCTCTCTTTCACTCTCTAGAATCTCACCTGGGCCCGTCCATAGCCAGGCCTGTGAACAGAAATCCTGGGCAGGACCCTGTTGCTGATGCAGGTGAAGGAGGTGCAGACCCTTCCGCAGGCATTTTGGTGTACTAGTAAGCGATCAAGGAGATGATTTCCTACCACAAACCATAACTAAGTAAGAGTGTTTTATCTTAGTGTTGGTAAGTATGTGGCTGGAGGCAAGACACTTCACTGCCTTGGAACTCGGGCCTGGACCCGTCCATAGCCAGGCCTGTGAACAGAAATCCTGAGCAGGACCCTGTTGCTGATGCAGGTGAAGGAGGTGCAGACCCTTCCGCAGGCATTTTGGTGTACTAGTAAGCGATCAAGGAGATGATTTCCTACCACAAACCATAACTAAGTAAGAGTGTTTTATCTTAGTGTTGGTAAGTATGTAGCTGGAGGCAAGACACTCCACTGCCTTGGAACTCGGGGTCTTCATCTCTTAAATTAGGGGCCACACCAGTAAAACTTGAAGTGATGTCTAGGAGTCAGGAGCATCATTCCAGGCCTTTCAAAGCCTCATCTATAGCCATGGCTCTTCACGCCCCATTCTGTCCACAACTGCTCAACAACTGGGCTTCTGCCCCAGTTGCCCTCCCTTCAATCGGATCACCAACCACCTCCTATCAAACCAGCCTCATCCAACTGGACTCCTCCTGCCACCTGACCCCGTTACTCCCTTAGCCGTGGCCCATCCGCAGGACTCTGGCTCTCTTGCCCTTTCTAGTTCCTCTTCCTCAGACGGATCCCTAAGTGCTATCTTCTTACTGCTTTACGTGTGTCTGAGTAATCTGTTCTCATGCCTCCAAAGTCCTCTCCTGAGGACTTCCAACCTCTTTCAAAAATTCTGCTTTTGTTTTTCCAAATGTCTATTAGAAACCACAAACTAATGTCCTTAGCTGAACACATTCTCTGCACCCTCTTCCTGAACTTGTCATTTATTGTCTTGCTTTAGTTTTCTCCTTCCTCACCTTCACATTCAACTTGTCACCAAGTCCTGCCAGAATTCTCACTCAAGTGGATGCCCACCTTCTTCCTCCACTGCTTGGAGTTCAGATCCTCATCAACTCTACTGATTTCCCTCTAAAAGTGCCACCCACACAATCTACTAGACTCCTGGGAAGCAATCCTTTGCTGAACATCCAATGGCTTCTAAGATCAAGTCTTTTACAAAATGGCATATAAAGCCCCTGGCCACCTGGTCCCAACACACAGTATCAGTCTCACCTTCCCAGAATGTCTCTCGGGGGCTTTTCTGCAATATGAAGCCTGCTCTCCTCTCAAGATGAGTCTTGAGGCATGCTCTAACATCCCTGAACAAAGGGGCTGGCTCTGAATGCCTCAGCACTCAGGGCAGACCTGTGTGTCTGTCCCACCTACTACATTTAATTACCCACCCACCCAGGTGTTCATCTCTGCTGATCATGCACCGGTAAGTACACAGTGCAAATCCATGGTTGTTGACCACAACTGTCGACTTCATGGTAAAGAATATCAAACTGTTAAAGTAAATGTGGACTGGAGCTTATCTCTGCATTTCCAGGGATTTAAAAAAACAACCCATATACAAATATTCACAGTTCTACCACGTACAGACCCTCTCACATGCCTCCCCACCGAGGGAGCTCTTGGGTATCATACCGGATGTCCCAGAAACGAATTTTCTTGTCAAAATGTCCACTCATTACACACTGCTCTGTGCAGACAATATCGTTGCAGCTGGATCCCGCAAACACTGTCTTTATGCCTGAAAGAAAGCCGAACATCAGTCATCAAGCAGAGGCTCCTCCGTGGCTGTCCACATAACCTCACTCCCTCAGACCCCAAGCCAACAGAACTCCTCATTCACATGAAGCTTCAAACATGGAAAATTGCCACCACCTCAGCACCATTCTCACTTGCATTCAAACTGTATCACACTAAATGCAGGCTTTGATGTAGAAACAAACCCCTCCGCAGTTAATGTCTAATCCCACATATAAACAGAGAGACTGAATTTCCTCACAGACTTTGCTGCGCAGATCCCAGAGTTTGAGGGTCCGGTCATGACTTCCAGAAACAATACGCGCATTGTCCAGCAGGAACTTGGCAGAGAGCACTTTGCCACTGTGTCCCGTGAGTGTGTGCTAGGAGAGAGAAAATACAGCGGGATAAGCCTGCGGGCAGCACACTGCGAGGGAGCCAGCTTCTCCAAACACCCAACCGTTGGTCAGGAACATCAGAGGCAGAAGGACCAGTAGCTGGGGAAACACTCAAAAAGCCTATCTATCTACGGGTACTGCCCAGAGGTGAGGTATATTAGAGGAATAGGATAAATCTCTGACCACAATAACATAAAAAAAAACAAACAACAACCAAAAAACAAAAACATCACCAGTACAAAGTTCACGTGTCCCATCCTCAAAACCAGCAAGGGCAACCAGAGGACTTTTTCGAAACACTGCACTGTTCTTGCACCTTTTTTATAAGACTGTATTATATCAAATCACAACATTTTAAAAGCCTTGGGTTTAGCCAGTGCCTCTAAGTCAGAATAGACACAATTTACAAAGGAAACATCAGGCCTCATTAAATAAACAATTAAAAGCCCTGGGGGTTTTTCAAAGAGAGGTCTCAGCTTAAGTCAGAATAGACACAATTTACAAAAGGAAACATCAGGCCTCATTAAATAAACAATGAAAAGCCCTGGGGGTTTTTCAAAGAGAGGTCTCAGCTTGAAAGTCAGATCAGAACCACAGGTACCGCACTCCCAGTAATCACATCCCTTCGAGACTGGCTGTGGGATGCCAACCACGTGCCCTCCCTGGGCTCGCCAAGGAACACAGACCTGGGACATCACAGAGTGTCAGCTGCCCTTTTACCCATCAAAGCACTACTGGAGCCTGATGGGAGCAAGGCGGCTGGGGATGGTGAGGATGCAGGGAGGGGACCTGGGGAGTCAGCCCTTTTACTAGTCATCATTGACCTCTTTTATATTTGCAAAACCTCAAAGGCTCAAAAGGTAGTCACTGATGTTTTCTTTCTAATAAAAACAAGCCTTTTTAAAAGACCCTAGTATACTTACTCCACTGGTAATGATGGCTTTCAACCTCACTCCCAAAGATGAGACCTCAGAGTTTCGTGTAAAGTTTTCAGTGTTGAAATTTTAGAGTCCCGTCTTTCTGCTATACTGAGTGGAGCAACTGCATTTAGTACAGGAACAGAAACTTAGGACATGCGTACTTCTCCCTTTCTAAGAAGTCTGCTCGGCTTCTCACTCACATCCCTCACCCGACACCTCTCTGAAACTGGGACTGATCTTACAAGTGTGCCAGCAGGTGGTGGCTGGGCTGCAGCAGTGTGAAAGCTACCACCAATCCTGCTGGTGAAAGCAACTCCAGCACCAAAGCTGACATTTCACACAGTATAGGAACGTGAGTCCACTCAGTACAACTCATCCAATCTGTACAAGTCAGAGGAGACAGGAATCTGGGTAGGTACTTCTCATGCATTGCAAATTAAGTCCTTAGTTCTGTGTATATGCACTGTCTGTAATCACATTTCACCAACATAGGGAGAAAACGACATCGCTCATGAATGGGCTATGCGAATGCACTCACTCTTGCACACTTTCACATTTCTGTACATTTCATGTTATTTTTAACATTACAGTATAAGCAAGTTTTCATGTGATAGCTGAAAACACATGGGCCTGGGGTCACACTGATGTGGCTCTACACAGCCTGGGCCTCTAAGTTAAACTGAGGAAGACAGATCTCTTTCTCACGCTGGTTTAGCAGTATGAAATAGGCACATGTGGACAGCACTAACTCTTTTCCTGTTTGCACCCTCACGCTTAAGTCTTCATAAATACTTTAATAGCTGAATAATCTGTATGTGGTGAGGTGACAATTTAGCTGAAATTTCCTTGGCCAGCAGACACTTAAGTTGCTTTAAAAGTTTCATGGTAACAAATAATGCTGCAATGAACACTATGAGCACACAGCTTTTTTCTTGACTTATTTCCTGGAATGAACTATTGGACTAATGCAGTGGTTCTCAACCTTCTGGCCCTTTAAAAACAGTTCCTCATGTTGTGACCCAACCATAAAATTATTTCGTTGCTACTTCTAACTGTAATGTTGAGTTTGGGATTTTGTTTCAGTGCAAACCAGACCACACCTATTC